ACACTGGAAGATTTAGATGAGGGGTATATGCCAAGAAATGGTAGGTGGAAATGCCTGCAAATCTGACGGTTCCTGTGACATTCTGCAAATCCACTGGATTGTCGGATGTTCAGGGTTGATGCCTGCAAATCTTCTTGCTTCTCTTAAGTTATCTAATTTCTCTGCAACTTTAAGATTGTTCCTCCACAATGGATAGCTTCTGGGACCATGAAACTTTAAGTATCCCTGAGAAACCATTTAAAAATGGTTCAAATACTTTCTTCATCAATGCACAAGCCCATCACCACCTTGGCCATGGACTGCATTTGAAGCATACTGGTATAAATTTATTGTTTAATCAAATTAACAAATCCATCTCTTCTTTTCCCTTTTCTGAAACTACATAAACGATTACAGTGATGGACCTAAAAATGATGAAATTAACATGATAGCAGTAGCATAATCACTTTTTCTGTCCCTACACACAGGACTGCCAATTAAAATGATCAAAATAACATAATTACATAAAAGTAATCCATGCCAGTCAAAATTAAATTAAGCAGAACCATCTGGACATGGTAGTTGGGTTGCATACTTGGACAGTACATGACCTATAGATTATACATGTATATACTCATGTACATTAACATCAGATGCAAAATTTGCAATTTCTGAGCGAAACTAAGAACACCAAGTAACTTTGTCAATGTTCCTCTGGCTTTTGCCCTATACAAGGATTTTGTTTGAACTATTACCTGGATTCTTTTTACAATTTTGCATATAACAACTGTTCTACAAATATTAAGTGCCTTGAGAAATGAGTAGGATTTTCCAATATGTAGTAATAAACTGTAAACAGAAGATGAATGTCTTTAAGATGTAGATAAAACTGGAGAGATTTAAGGAACAAATGCAACTTACGAAGAGAATTATAATTGGACACCACAGCCTATAGAAAGATTACAAACTCCTTGTCACTAACTTTTTTATCCAGTATCTCATATAATAATATTCACTAGAAGGAGAATAAACTATACAGTTGAAAGTAACTGAACAGGTAGAATTAACTGAGTAACTGTACATATAATAGATAAGACCTAATGTGCCAGCTAGCACAACTGGTATTAAGTGAATCAGGGGTTCACAGTACCGTCTGGCATCACTTTCAAATCCCTGCACTGGGGCTGCTGAAATAGACAAGAAAACTGTAATATATAGCAATGTCAGAATAACTTCTCAACTTCCAGGTGACTCCTCATAGATTTATCAAGCCATGATTCCGACAAGGCCCCCGATTTTCCTTTATTATGTACTGGCTAAAAAAGGTATATCCACTATAAAGCATAGCTAATATGTACTTAAATACCAATAAATGCAAGCTCCATCATGTAGTTAGGCCATGATGTATTTATGAGAATTGGATGATTACCAAATCCTAGTATGTCAAATATCAAGGACCTGACAGCTTACAAGCTCTGCTACCCCAGAATCCTTAGCATCAATGACCTTCCAAAATTCAGGCTCTTCCTCTACCAAGGAAACAGGGTTGTCAGTCATAGAGTCAGCTGGAGCAGTTGATGAAGTCGAAACATTTGAGCCTGTACGTCTCTGTAAGTCAGCTTCCAATATCACAATATGATGATTGGCATCTTTCATGATAACATGGAGCTTCCCAAGTAAACCAGCAAGCAGAAATGGAGACTCAGAGTCAGTGAGATAACGAACTGGTACATTTTCTATAACAACTCTCCAAACATCCTCCTGATTATCATACTTCTTTATCTTGCCATTGTCCAAACAACTAGCAGGATCCAAGGCATATAGATCTCCATTGACTACAGTACCCAACTTTGTTCCCGCTTGCCTAGCAGGCCAACCATCACCCATACCATGTGGCATTTCCACCCATGAACTTGTCTCTGGGTCATAAATTTCACCTCCAATATCAAAAAAGAAGGGCCAAGAATATAAACTCTGTGGAACACACAACCTTCCCCTATATGAAACCAATCCGGTTGCAATAGGCTTCAGCATGTCGGCTAAAAAAGCAGTAGGTAACACCTGTGTTTTCACGAAAGGCATGCTTGGCAACTCCGTCCAAAGACTTGTTAGGGGATCAAAAACTTCAGCAGTTCGTAAAGGAATTAAGCCATTTCTTCCCCTCACGACCCCCCCCACAACATAAAGTTTGTCGTTTAATATGCCTGTCTTACAGAAAGCCCTAGCACTGGTCATAGAGCTCACTTCCTGCCACAAGTTAAGACACGGATCATACCGCCAAACACAATTGATGGCAGAGGCTCGAGAAAATCCACCTAATACATAGAGGCAGCCATTGACAACACCAACTGCACATCCGCAAAAGGGCATCTGATCCAAGTTATCCCTGCGCCCGAGCCAACCTCTTATGAAATCAGCAAGTTTGATGCTGGAGCCCACCACACCCCACATCCAAAATCCAGGCAACCCCCTCTTTGGCTCTTCCTCATCCACAACATGGGGCATCGGCGGCAACCGTTGCCATTTTCCCGAACGAGGGTCCAATGCCTGCCACAAGTACTTGTCCCCTCCTGTCTTCGTCATTACATATAACCATTCTTCAGTCACCCCAAGTTGTCTTCTCAGCTGAAACAGCTCACCGCTCATGACAGCAATCATCCATCGCCGGGAAACCAACTTCACATTCAAGTAGTGAATTCTCGGCAATCTCGCTAGGATTTGAATCGAGACTTCATCTGGAAGACTAGGGATCAGCCTCGGGTTGTCATCAAAATACGATGATATTCTTATCTTTTTGTTTGCATCACCACGGGATGTTTCACAATGCACGCCTTCACCAGACTTAGCAGCAGGCACACTCAAGAATGATCCCATCAAAATCCTCTAAAAACCAGCCGATCCTCGCGGAAAAGTAATGTGCTACTTGAGCCCGATCCCTAATAGATTTCAAAAGAACTGGTTTTATAAAAATACATATCAATTCATCAAAGAAGACACGATCCAAAAAGATCAAAGAAAGAACTTTTAACTCCTCCAAGCGGACCTCAAAATTCTAATTTTACAGTAAAAAACAGAAGGAAAAAAATTCCGACTCTACAAAAATTTTAGAACCCCAAACACCAGATCTGAAGAAACTCTTGAAACGCAATAGAAAAGCATTGATCTTCAGCAAGACCCTAAACGTCAAATCTGAAGAAACTATTCAAACGCAACAAAAATACATGGATTGTCACCGAAAATAGCAGATACAAAAACAAGAAAAAGATCAAGGAAGGACAGGTTACCTTCAGGCTAGAGAGATCCGGAAGAAGATACCCTAGATATGCTCCTTTTCGCTTTACAGATTCTCTTGGTTCCTCTTCTCGTTCGTATTCGACTCCGCTCAAACGACGGCACCTTCCTTACATGGCAGGGCCGTTACGGTTTACGATCAAAATTGGGCCAGTCCGGCCCATTATATTGAGCCCATATTTGGTTCTGCCACAGCTGGGTCGGCAAAACAAACCATTGGGCCATGGAATCAAATACATAGATTAATGTAAAGCTTATCTTATCTCATTTAATTGGGGAATATTTTCCTATAAATGAAGCAAAATTTAGGAACAACTAACATAAATTGAGAGGGTTAGGTAACATATACTAGATTTTTCTTTTTAATAATCTAAGTTTTTAAGTTGTAATAATGTTCAATCTCAATATATAAAAATTGCACTGATTCCTAGTTTCTAATTGCAAAAAACCTCATCATAATTTTAGTCCAATAGATTCAAAAAGGGAAAGAAGTTCATAATTGAGCTATTTTTCATGTATTGAGTATAAGTATTTTGACATATCAATGACCACATATTTAATAATTGTTTCCTCTAACATCCATTTCTCTATGGTTTTGTTTTATAAATTGTATTATATATTATAGAGGAATATACATACATACATATACATATACATGTATATATACATGTATATATACATGTATATATATATATATACATATATATATATATATACATATATATATATATATATATATATATA